TCCGGCAGATATTTCAGGTCCGCGGTTCTGCTTCGCAGCCCGTGTTCCAGCTTCCAGGCGTTGGTCCGCGTAGCCCAGCCCGTGTACGCGTGGCCCAATTTCCGCGGTTTACAGCGGAGGCCCAGATTCCTCTCGCGATGGCCCGTGTAGGAGAGCCCGTAAGAAGGCCCAGTACGGATGGTCTGCGGATAAACCCAAATCGCATCTGTCCAGCGCGCGGGCCACAATACAGCCCGTCAGGCCCGTTCCCATCACAGTATACAGCCCGCGCGCCCAGGCTCTGGCCCGCGTTTGGCCCGGAGCCCAACCCGCTTTCTGCACTACTCCAGCCCGCGGAGCCCGCGTTTTTTACCCGCGTCTGGCCGCCCAGCACCAGCAGATCTCGGCCCAGAGCTGGCCCACGAGCGGCCCAATCCCCCTACAACCTATTTTCTTGCCCTAACAAGCCTCAATGCGCGGCCCAAGAAGCCCAACTAGCGCAGAATGGCCCAGAATGCTGCCAATTTTGTCAAATAGCCTCATTTTGTGTTCAAAACTAATTCGGGATGACTCGACGTGGACGGTGAGGAAATGACGAAATAATCCAAGTCTCGACAAGCTATGACGGACGAGCTGTTGAGTGTCGAGGACAAAATGAACGAACATGGATCCATCTAAGGAGGGTGAAGCAGGGACGAGCCTAGATGATGTCGATCACCGGTGGCGATTTCACAAGGAATGGGTAGTAATCATTCTCTTTTGGAAAGGTAAGACAATCTGGAGCAGTATTTTTGACCTTCAGGTACAAAACTATTCTCGACTCTTGTTCGGTGGTCGTGTTTAATCGACAGGGGTTTATGGTCATTCTTTGTGTACTCTGGACAAACGGTTGAGGAGTTTGTGATGCATATCGACATGGTTGAGATTATTATTTGGATGACTAACAAAATGATTGGGTGTTATTATATCTTGTCATATTCGATGTTTTCCTTTTCGACCTCAGTGGCAGGTCGAAAAATTCGAGCACACGTTACCATGCACAACCAGGAAAGGGAGGTAAAAAAATACATTCAACATTTTTTATCTCGTTCGACGCAATTATACATTTGATGATGCTAACGGAGAGGATCAATTGCTATCATATCTTGTTGTGCTCGATGTGTTTCTGTTTGACCTCAATGGCAGGTCGAAGAAAAAAACCCACCATGACTAAGGCCTCTGGGCTGGGTGGTCACATGTAACGACCACTCCTTCGAGGGTGGGCATGTGTTTGAAGACCAAAAATCCACCATGACTAAGGCCTCCGGGCTGGGTGGTCGCTTGTTTAGAACACCCCCTGGGGTGGGCAGGTTGACCTCCTGTTTCGTACATCCCTCGGATTGGGTGGGCAAGTGCAAAGACATGGATGACTCGAGCAGACCTCGGAGGCAGGTCGATAATTCTTACTTGGCTCTATTTCGTCTGGTATTGTTGAATATTTGTTTCTAACCCAGTGGCAGGTCGAGAAATTTCATTATGGATAATTCGAGCAGTATGAAGACAAAATCCACCATGACTAAGGCCTCCGGGCTGAGTGGTCGACCCTAGTGTTGGGTCGTAAAGACATGGAGCCTATCGGAGACCTCGGAGGCAGGTCAATGATTTCTTATTGGTTATATCTGGTTTGTTATCAATTGGATATTTGTTCCTAACCCAGTGGCAGGTTGAAAGAAGACAAAATCCACCATGACTAAGGCCTCCGGGCTGGGTGGTCGATCCTAGTGTTGGGTCGTGAAGATACAGATAGCTCGTGCAGGTTAACAAATTTATTTGATTTGGTTTTGTGCTATTGGTGCTTCTGACCTCAGTGGCAGGTCGATCAATCTCGCTACCGATAGCTCGAGCGGGTTGTCTGTCGATTTTGTTTTGTCGAATTCATTTTTCGACCCCAGTGGCGGGTGAGGTATATTCATTTTTGCTCGAGCGGGTTGATTGCGTTTTATTTGATTATGCTTCCGCCGAATTCATTCTTCGACCCAAGTGGCGGGTCAGGTATATTCATTTTTGCTCGAGCAGGTTGATTGCGTTTTATTTGATTATGATTCCGTCGAATTCATTCTTCGACCCAAGTGGCGGGTCAGGTATATTCATTTTTGCTCGAGCAGGTTGATTGTTGATTCTGGTTTATCGAAATTGTTTTTCGATCCCAGTGGCGGGTCAGGTATATTTATTTTTGCTCGAGCAGGTTGTTTGTTGATTCTGGTTTGTCGAATTCATTTTTTGACCCAAGTGGCGGGTCAGGTATATTCATTTTTGCTCGAGCAGGTTGATTGTTGATTCTGGTTTATCGAAATTGTTTTTCGATCCCAGTGGCGGGTCAGGTATATTCATTTTTGCTCGAGCAGGTTGTTTGTTGATTCTGGTTTGTCGAATTCATTTTTTAACCCAAGTGGCGGGTCAGGTATATTCATTTTTGCTCGAGCAGGTTGATTGTTGATTCTGGTTTATCGAAATTGTTTTTCGACCCCGGTGGCGGGTCAGGTATATTCATTATGGCTTGAACAGGTTGATTGTGCTTTGTCTGATTATGCTTCCGTCGAATTGATTTTTCGACCCCTGTGGCGGGCCAGTGGCAGGTCGAGTATATTCATTACGGCTCAAGCAGGTTGGTGGTTGATTTATTTTTCAAGGGAACACACAACATGCTTGAATTTTAAACTTTGAACTGAGGGGTGATAGGACGAGGTGAGCTCGAACATGGTGATCGAAACACAACAGACGTAAATTCAAACTTTCAAAGTCAAGACTTCGGTCAACGGTCCCTCGACTCTTGGTTTTCGACCTCTTGCGGTCTCGATGCTCGGTTTTTGACCTCTACGGTCTCGACTCTCGGTTTTCGACGTCAGCGGTCTCGAACCTCAGTTTTCGACCTCAGCAGTGTCGACTCTCGGTTTTCGACCTCCACGGTCTCGACGCTTGGTTTTCGACCTCCGCGGCCTCAACGCTCGGTTTTCGACCTCCACGGTCTCGACGCTCGATTTTCGACCTCCACGGTCTCGGCGCTCGGTTTTCGACCTTCACGGTCTCGACGCTCGATTTTCGACCTCCACGGTTTCGATGCTCGATTTTCGACCTCCACGGTCTCGACGCTCGATTTTCGACTTCCACGACCTCGACGCTCGGTTTTTCGACCTCCACGATCTCGACGCTCGGTTTTCGACCTCCACGGTCTCGACGCTCGGTTTTTGACCTCCACGACCTCGACGCTCGGTTTTCTTTTTCGACCTCCACGGTCTCGATGCTCGGTTTTCGACCTCCACGGTCTCGACGCTCAGTTTTCGACCTCCACGGTCTCGACGCTCGGTTTTCAACCTCCACGGTCTCGACGCTCGGTTTTCGACCTCCACGGTCTCGACGCTCGATTTTCGACCTCCACGGTCCCTCGACTCTCGGTTTTCGACCTCAGTGGTCTCGACTCTCAGTTTTCGACCTCAACGGTCATTCGGTTCTTGGCTTCAGTTTACGATCTCAGTTATCATTTGGCTCTTGGCTTTCGGTTTCTCGACCTCTGTCGAAGGTCCTTCAATCATTTATCTCAGTGTATGGTCATTCAGTTTTTGACCCCTTACGGTCTCCCGTGCTCACGTGGAAGTTTTATGATTATTCGGCGATCGAGAACTTATTCAAATCATAACCTCAGTGGAAGGTTAACGGAAGCGGCTCGAAGAGACATTTCACTCTTGGATCGAGTTATGCCTACTCGACCAGAGTGGGGGGACTAGATGATATATGATATTATACTACACACGGTTTAATGGAGAAAACAAGCATATATTGGAAGACGAGCCCACGTATGGATGAAGCACTACGATATGGGTCAAGCCCAACTTGAGCCCACAAAGGTACACTCCCCCTATAAAAGGGGGCCAATGTACCTCATTCTCTCATCCTCTCCTCATTACATTACTATACTTTATCTCTCTCTTGATCCGAGCACTGACTTAGGCATCGGAGGCCTGACGCCGGGGCCACCCGGTGTTGGGTTCTGCAGGTACGGAGGTCGGTTCGAGTTGAAGGAGCCTGGGTGAATCTTATTCACTTCATATAGTATCATGTTGCACTTTAAAAACAACACACCGTCGTACTGAAAATTCAATAATTTTAATAATCAATCGAATAATATTAATTGGTTAAATGCTAGTTTTACTTTTTTAAATAAACAGAATAACCGAATATTTCGAACTATATGAAAAATATTACCGATTTTTATATATATTTTTTGTATTAAATACTATTTTTTATCTATATTTTTTATGTGTTGCGGTTGCACATTATGGTTATATATATTGCATCATATATATCAATATGTTGCACTATATACAACATTACACTGTACCGTATAACACAAATGTTGCACCTTAAAACGACATGCTACATATACCAAAATTGAAGTAATTATGCTAATCGATCGAATACTATTAGTTGGATAGATGCGGGATTTAATTTTTTTTAAATAAACAAGTAACCAAACATGTTGAACTATATGAAAAAATATTACCCTTTTTTTTTATATCTATATTTGTGTATTGCGGTTGCATGTTAGTGTTATACGGGTTGCACGTAAATACTTAACAAATTGCATAAAATCAAACGAGATCAACAAATAGAAATTCAGTACGAAATTTTATATTTCGCGTCAATTAATATATTTTTTTTATACTGTTTGTCCCATTTTTGTGTCTTTATTTTCGCTTTATTTTCTCTTTATTTTTCCCACTTATAGGATTTTCGTAGTTTATTTGGTCTAATTCTGTGATTTTTCCGTTCTTCTCTTTAGTTCGTTTTGTGCGTCTTTTTGCTGTGTTTTGCTTCGTGTTTTCTTCGTGTGTGTGTTTTCAGGAGGTAGGTTGTGTTGATCGAGGACGGGACTACTCGAGCTGAGACCGGGATATCAAGAAGACCCTTTAACGTGCTCAGAATACTGAAGGAGGGACCGGAAAAACGAACCGATAAGCTGCTCAGAACAACTCGCGACTCGCGAGACAATGTCGCGACTCGCGAGGTTGTCGCGACTCGCGAGGAAGTCGCGACTCGCGAGTCCAACAGAGCCAAAAGACGAGTTCCGCGAGACGAGTCGCGACTCGCGAGTCAATATCGCGACTCGCGAAATATGTCGCGACTCGCGAGTCAGGTCGCGAGTTTCCCCAGAATTTATATATTTTTCGAAGACGCGCGACTCGCGAGATGTCGCGACTCGCGACTCAGCAAAAGTGTAAGTCGCGACTCGCGACTTATGTCGCGACTCGCGACTTGCTCGGCGCGAATTTCGAGGTCGGGATTTTAACATCAGATTTTTGACCTAGACTTGATTATTCATCTTCCAGACCTTGTTTTTACATTATTCTCTCTAGAAAACTCACTCCGTTCATTACTTTTACGTTTTTGATTCGTATTGGAGACTGGAAAACTCCTATTTACCGCTCTGGATTTGGATGCTTGTGGATTTTAACATTGGGATTCTCTATTTTAATCGTAAGTTCTTATTTTCTTCAATTGTTGAGTTGATGATGATGGCTTGGGTTAATTTGATTGTTCTTGTTCAATTCCACATGAGTAGCTAAATCCATACGCTAGGGATAGGGGATGATTGATTAGGTTCGATAATAATTGCTAGTTCTTGATTGTTCATATCTATTCAAGTTATGCTTATTCTAGGGTTAATAGATTGATCACCTGTTTAACCTAACTAATCAACATGTGGAACCGAGAGGGGAGATGTTGGTCGAAATAGGCTTGTTTAGAGTAGACTTGTTCGTAACTGTATTGTCTATGCGTTGCGGGAACTGATAGTTAATCGTTTACATCCACTCTCTTGTTCGTAACTGTATTGAGAGTGAACCTCTGAACGAGAAGCGATTCAGGTCCTTAAACCGAGCAGTTGATTGCCGGTAGCTGTGGTAGAACCGAAGCAATTATCCCCGATTCCCTAGCTCTCAAATCATTGCGTGAATATCTCTGCTATTTTAATTGCTTTTCATTAGCTCAGTTTCTTAGTTGATAATCAAAACCAAACCAATTTGAATAGAGTGTTTAGGAATTTTTCTTCTCTTTTTCGTGATTGAATAATCGTGAAATTTAATCCGGCTAACCTTCCTTGCGATACAACCCGGTGTTGAATCTTTCGATTCTACTCCGGTAAAAAATACTTACAACAAAATTGGCGCCGTTGCCGGGGAAGGTTTATGATTATTTTGTGCGCTTATTCATTTTATTTTCAGTGTTTCTCTTCGTTTTATTTTACTAGGTTATTAGTTCTTGATTTTATTTGTTCTTTGTTTTTCTTAGGTTTTTCTTCTTTGTTTATCTGGTGCTCGTGACGGTTTCTTGTCTTTGTGTATGCGTACCAGGAGTGGACGCAAACTGCTATCTCCAATCAACAAATCTGTCAACGATAGCCTGAGGGAGCTGCTGGAAGAGCTTACTCTAGAATCGAAAGGGGAAGACGAACATTCTCCAGCATCATCCGAAAGCAGCAACCTCAATATGGGAGAACGACAGCACCTAGCCCCCCTTAACACCCTCCGAACCTTGGCCCAGCCGGTTATCGGGCCAGTCACTTCATGCATTCAATTGCCGGAAGTTGCACGAAATTACGAGCTCAAAATGATTCATTACAACCAGCTGCCGGCATTTCACGGGCTGCCAAGCGAGGACCCACTTAACTTCATCCAGGAATTTTACAATGTCCTCAACACTTTCCCTCTCAATGGCCTCAATGACGAGCAGTTGAAGCTGAGATGCTTTCCCGAGACTCTGAAAGACCGGGCCAAGGCCTGGTTCATGACGCTTGCACCCGGCTCCCTCACGACATGGACTGAGGTGTACACCAAGTTCATTGGGAAGTATTGCTCCCATCAAAAAACTCAGGAGCTTCGGTCCCAGATCGTCTCATTTGCTCAGTTACCGAATGAGTCTCTTCACGAGGCTTGGGAGCGGTTCAAGGATCTCCAGCGGCAGTGCCCCCATCACAACCTCTCTCCGGGGCTACTCATGAATTGTTTCTACGATTCTCTCCATCAGAACTTGCAATATATGGTCGACAACGCAGCAGGAGGAGATATTGGAGCAAGAACAGCCGAGGAGATGTATGAGATTTTCGAAACGATGAGTGCTAACTCGTCGCAAAAGAGCACTCGAGGGAGAAGAGCAATAGTGAATGAAGTCGGAACAAGTAATGATATGATGGCCCAACAACTGGCTGAGCTTACTGAGCAGATGAGGTTGCTTACCGCACGAGGATCTCAGCCAGTTAACACATTTGCTGTTGATACATGTGGGGCATGTGGAGTCCCAGGGCATAGGTCCGAAGTATGCCCCTCATCATTCGAGCAGGACTCCGGAGAGCAGTACGCGGATGCCAGCGCCTTACAAGGATATCAGAACCGGCCAGCCAATGATCCATATTCCAATACGTTCAATCCAAGGTGGCAGAACCACCCACACTTCTCATGGTCAAACAACTCGAACACACTTCAGCCACCCCGTCCGAACTTTATGAAGCAACAACCTTGACCCAACTTTGTGCCTCGGCCGAACTACCAGCCACAGCAGCCACAGCAACAGCAGAGGGGACCAGAAGCGGGGTCGAGTTCGAACCTCCATGAGGACGTTGCCAAGATCCTACAGTTCATGGCGAACAGAGAGCAGCGGGATGTCAATCAGGACGCCTCCATCAAGCGCATTGAGACTCAGTTGGGCCAACTGGCCGCTCGGGTGGGTACAATTGAGACTGAGAGGAGCAAAGACAAGCTACCTAGTCAGCCTGAGCAAGCAAAAGCTATAACAGTTCTCAGAAGCGGGAAGGAGGTGGACAACAAGGTTCAGATGCCCGAGCCTGAGGATAAGGAGACCCTTTCTGAAAAGATCGAAGAAGCAGAGTCCGGGAAGGTGACAGACGAGCCGGTGTTACATAAATCGCCGAATCCGTACAAGCCGCGCATTCCCTTTCCGGACCGACTTAGGAACGAGAAGCAAGAGAAGCAGTTCCGAGATCTTTTTAACATGCTCTCCAAGGTGAACGTTAACTTACCTCTGCTCGATGTGATTAAGAATATGCCATCATATGGTAAGTTCTTTAAGGACTTGGTGACCAAAAAGAGGAAGTTCGAAGATGGAGAGAAGGTAGTCGTGTATGAGGCGGCAAGTGCTATGCAGCACGACTTGCCCAAGAAAGAGCGAGATCCCGGTGGTTTCATCATTCAAATAGCTCTGGGGAATGGGATGGTAGCTTCGGGGATGCTCGACCTCGGAGCCGGAATTAATCTCATGCCCTTCTCGATTTTTCAGAGGCTTGGCCTTGGGGATTTGAGGCCGACTCGCATGTGCCTCCAGTTAGCAGACCGTTCTATCAGGTACCCGAAGGGGATAGTCGAGGATGTTCTCGTGAAGGTTGTTAAGCTTATCATTCCAGTGGATTTTGTCGTTCTAGACGTTGGGGATGTGCACGAGAATGAGAAGGATCATACCATCCTTCTCGGGAGACCTTTCATGGCGACGACCAACACTCTCATCGATGTGAAGAACGGGACCCTGAACATGACGGTTTTAGGGGAATCAGTGTCTATTTCTGTCCGAGAAGCCATGTCTTCATCTTCCGTCAACTTCATAGAAGAATGCGCTTTTATTGATCTTGCTGATCCCTTTGTTGATGAGATGGTATTTCAGGAGTTCGAGGACAAGTCGTTGCCGGTTTTCGAGGAGGAGGACGAGCCTTTGGTGGAGCTTTTTGAAGTAGGAGAGGGCCATACCCGAGCGGAGACCACACTCGAGCTTAAGGAGCTGCCCAAGCACCTTAAGTATGTCTTTCTGGATGACGCGCATCAGAAGCCGGTGGTCATCTTTGCTGAGCTCGACAATGAGGAAGAGGAGGAGCTGATAGCCATGCTCAGAAAGAACCAGAAGGCAATCGGGTGGAGTCTAGGAGACATCAAGGGGATTAGTCCCTCAACATGCATGCACCGAATTATCCTGGAGGAAGGAGCCAAACCTTTTCGGGATAGCCAGCGCCGGCTGAACCCGAATATGATGGAGGTAGTGAAGAAAGAGGTGCTGAAGTTTTTTTCTGAGGGGTTGATATATCCGGTGGCGAGCAGTGAGTGGGTTAGCCCTATTCATGTGGTGCCGAAGAAGGGAGGCATAACCGTGATTGAAAATGACAACAAGGAGTTGGTCCCCACCCGCATTACTACCGGGTGCCGTATGTGTATCAATTACAGACGGTTGAACGCTGTGACCAAGAAGGACCACTTTCCATTGCCGTTTATTGACCAGATCCTTGATCGTCTTTCGGGCCATCAGTTCTACTGCTTTTTGGATGGGCTCTCCGGCTACTACCAAGTGGCCATAGCACCTGAGGATCAGCCCAAGACGACATTCACGTGCCCCTTTGGTACATTCGCATTCAGAAGGATGCCCTTTGGCCTATGCAATGCACCGGGTACGTTTCAGAGGTGCATGTTCTCTATCTTCTCCGATATGCTTGAGGACGGCTTGCAGGTATTTATGGATGACTTTTCTATTTTTGGTGATTCATTTTCTCATTGCCTCCGTAATTTATCTCGTGTCCTTGAGCGTTGCATAGAGTCTAATTTGACTTTGAGTTGGGAAAAGAGTCATTTCATGGTGAGAAGTGGAGTTGTCTTAGGCCATGTTGTCTCTAGTAAAGGGATAGAGGTAGATAAAGCAAAGGTAGACGTTATTGAAAAACTTCCTCCTCCTGTGAATGTTAAGGGGATTAGGAGTTTTTTGGGGCATGCGGGGTTTTATAGGCGGTTTATTAAGGATTTTTCTAAGATTAGTCAGCCTTTATGTCATTTGCTTGCTCAAGATGTGCCATATGTCTTTGATGATGCTTGTTTACGTGCTTTTAATGAGTTAAAGAGTAAGCTTGTGAGTGCCCCTATTATGATTGCCCCTGATTGGTCGATTCCTTTTGAAATCATGTGTGATGCATCTAATCTTGCTGTAGGCGCCGTTTTGGGTCAACGGGTTGATAAATTGCTTCGAGTGATTTATTATGCTAGTTTGACTCTTAATGGGGCCCAACAGAACTACACTACCACCGAAAAGGAACTCCTAGCCGTGGTCTTTTCTCTTGAAAAATTTCGATCATACATTTTGGGTTCTAAAGTCATTATTCACTCAGACCATGCAGCTTTGAAGTACCTTTTGAGCAAAACTCATTCTAAACCACGGCTCATTCGGTGGATCTTATTACTGCAAGAATTTGATGTTGACATTAAAGATAGGAAAGGTTCTGAAAATGTAGTTGCTGATCACTTGTCACGCATTGTACCTTCTGAGTCTTCATCTTCATTGATTGTGCATCATTCTCTTAATGATAATTTCCCATACGAGCATGCACATGAGGTATCGAAAAGTGTATGGTATGCTGATATTGTGAATTACTTGTGTTGTGGAAAACTGCGGCCTAATCTCTCTTCCCAAGAGAGAAAGCGTTTTCTTGCTGTGTGTAGGGATTACTTCTGGGACGAGCCATTACTTTTCAAGATGGGGAAGGATGAGGTGCTTAGACGATGTGTACCAGAAGAGGAACAAGCCGCTGTCCTCACATTCTATCACGCATTCCATTGTGGAGGTCACTTTGGCGGTCAGAAAACCGCCTTTAAGGTATTACAGTCAGGTTTGTTCTGGCCATCACTTTTTAAAGACGCCCATACTTTTTGCCGTTCTTGTAATCGATGCCAAAGAACTGGGAATATTGGTCGCAGAAATGAGATGCCCTTGACTAATAACCTTCAAGTCGAAATTTTTGATGTTTGGGGCATTGGTTTTATGGGACCATTTCCCAAGTCTAATGGTTACGAATACATTTTACTTGCTGTAGATTACGTGTCTAAGTGGGTTGAGGCTATCCCCACAAGGACATGTGATGCTAATATCGTGATCAAGTTTGTGCAAGGGTATATTTTGAGTAGGTTTGGGTTCCCAAGAGCGATCGTGAGTGATGGCGGGAAGCACTTTTGCAACAAGCTTTTTGAGAAGCTGATGAAGAAGTATTGCATAACGCACAAAGTGGCTACTCCCTATCACCCACAAACCTCGGGCCAGGCTGAGACCAGTAATAAGCAGATCAAGACCATCTTGGAAAAGACGGTCAACTCATCAAGGAAGGATTGGTCGAGTCGGCTCGACGATGCATTGTGGGCCCAACGCACAGCGTACAAAGGAGTCTTGGGCATGAGTCTGTTCCGATTAGTTTATGGAAAAGCTTGTCATCTACCAGTTGAGATAGAACATAAGGCCTTGTGGGCGATCAAGAAGACGAACTTCGATCTGGATGCGGCTGGAAAAGCTCGATTGTTGCAGCTCTCGGAGTTGGAGGAGAGGAGAAACGAGGCATACGAAAATGCCAAGATTCACAAGGATAAGGTGAAGCGACTACACGATGCTCACATTGTTCGTCGGGAGCTGGTACCGGGCATGAAAGTCCTTCTCTACAATTCTCGCCTACGTCTTTTTCCTGGCAAACTTAGATCCCGGTGGAGTGGCCCGTACATTATCGATGAAGTGCTGTCTTTTGGTGCGGTTAGACTCTGAAATCCAGCCAATGAGGAGTTATTTACAGTTAACGGGCAGCGAGTGAAGCCCTACTTCGAGGGAGAGTTCGGGAAGTGTCATGTCGAGACCATCGGTCTCGGCGAACCAGCGTATCCTTGATCTAGCTGAGCTTTATTTATACTTTATGTATATATATATCTAGTTATTTGTTTCTTTCTTAAAAAAA